TATATATATATAATACTAAGTTTTCTAAATTGTGGAAGCATCATACTAATTTTTCTATTTTTTTCTCTATTTCACAAGACAAGTATCCACAATAAATAATAAAACTACATGCATGATAAAATAAAAAATAATTATAATGTCACAATACTAAAATAATCAAAAGAAATAATGAAAATGAACAAATATCCAAAAGTTACGTTTCTTTTTATTGAGGATAATTGGATTTCAAGTTAAATGAATAATGTATACTCTTGTAATCAATAAATTAATATTTGTAGATGATGAAGAATATTAGCTAAGATGAGATTAATATTATTTGATATGCATGAAAAATAATTGTATATGATGAAGAGAAATGGAAGTGTTACATATATTTATAAAAAAGAAAATATGTGTGTAGTTGTAATGTGATTTTAATTTAAAATTATAATATTACGTTTATATCTTTCAAACAAAAGTTACATTTCATTTTTCTTAAGCATAATATTGGCCATTCAAATGTGGTTGGAGAGTTACAAATCACAATTATCAATTCTAATATAAAATCATAAGTTACATTTATGTCCTTTAAAGTAACATCTTTTGAGGGCAGTATGGGCAATTCAAAATTTTCAAAAAACAACTCATGATTATGAATGTATTAACTTATAATTTTACTTATAAAAGTTGTAATTTTACTTATAAAAAAAATTAATTATGAATGTATTAACTTGTTACACATGATATACACTTCAATGGGTTTTTACTAAATTTTGAAGATGACAGTGAACATTCATGACCATTCAGTTGTATTTAATATTAAAAATATATATTATATTGAAGTTGATAATGATGATTTATAACTCATCTGCCTTCATTTAATTAAAAAATTAATACATTTTTAATAGACTACAACTACAATTATTTATCACATATCAAATAATCATATGTATGACATTAAGTTGGAATTGCTAATTTGTACTTGAATGATAGAAGGTCTAAATTATAGTTCCATTTTTAGAATTTCAAAATTATAAACTCATCATTACAGGTAATTTATTCTATAACTATAAAGATAGATAGGAGTAAACATTTTAAGGCACAGTGATAAAAATAAACCACGATGAAGGTAATTTTAAATAACATGTATTCCCAATTAAAAATAATATTTATTATTTGGCTTGATACTTATTATTATTATTATTATTATATATATATATATTATATATATATATAATACTAAGTTTTCTAAATTGTGGAAGCATCATACTAATTTTTCTATTTTTTTCTCTATTTCACAAGACAAGTATCCACAATAAATAATAAAACTACATCCATGATAAAATAAAAACAATTATAATGTCACAATACTAAAATAATCAAAAGAAATAATGAAAATGAACAAATATCCAAAAGTTACGTTTCTTTTTATTGAGGATAATTGGATTTCAAGTTAAATGAAT